CTTTTTGGCTTTCACATCTGCACAATCCTTGGAATATCTCAACAAAGAAGGGGATATATATTTTGGGAATTTTWACGAAAGTGCAAATGGAGCGATTTTCTCAAAACTCGAGAGTCTCTTATCTAACCAAACGACTGAAACAATTGAAGAATGTTGGTCRTTGTGCGTACAAAACAAGGAATGCTTGTCAGTGAATACCATTGCTTTGGATCAATCGCAACATCAATGYGAGCTTCTTAACTGGGCAGGGACGGGATTTGAGAGCCAYCTYKTACCAAAACCAAACTCCAAGTTTATGCAGATGCAGGTTGGTGATAAMGTTTTGATTGATRTTCATATCGTGTATTTCTTCAGAACTCAGCATGAGCAGAAAGCAACAAACATTTTTATCCCACTTTTTAGTACTTCCAGATGAGAATAAATTGAACAACAGCTTAAAAATAATTCAATAGTCATAAAAKCCTCATTCYTTTGTGTTCACTTTTGACTTSAAGGTGCTTTCCCATAGKTTTTTTTCGATCATACTTTTTATTTTAAATTTGTTTTTTAAAAATCTTGCCATGCACCGATTTATTTGGTGTTTGGAACAGTTTTCTGTCATATTAAATCGTTTGWTATGTTCCGAGCTAACTTTTCTTGGTTTCAAGAAAATAAACAAATCAAAAATTAATTAAARCTTTAAGGAGAAACATGGACACGATAGCCAAWCAAAACGATTTGAAGGCTGTGACTTAGTGTCAAGTCAACACAGACCATTTAGCAGGTCTTTGATGTTTGAATATTGTCATCTCTCAGTAATATTCGATCTTTCATCTCTTCAGAAACCTTTTTGAACAAGCCATAAATCWTTTTTTCTTTGGTACTAAACGTCAGGCATTCGATGTTTTTGAAAAATCGATAGAACAACCATTGTTTTAATTTAATTTATAGAACAAGAGAAACGGAAAAAGAAGTCCGAAATAATACTGTTCGACAAATTTGTATGCACGAAAACGGCACTTATGATATCCTGATGGAGTGTTCCGAAAWACTCAATGTCAGGCAATCAATTTGTATAGTATCAATTAGTATATAGCTCAGTAGAAGTTTAACATGCATAATCTCTGTTTTCGCATTTTTTAGCTTTTTTCTAAAATGATAACAATTTCTGGATGTTGGAGTTCTAGAAGTAGTATAAAAAACTCGCAGTCGTGCTTTATCGTGTCTATATATCTCCCGATAAAGCATTCCTGCTCGTTTTTTAAACACTACATAAATCTTACAATTTAGACATCTAGCAAGCGTTAAGAGATCTAGCAGGCTTGATATATTATAGAGCTTAGCATGTTTACATATCGTATGTACCCTATAGATTTCTATTTATAGATAAATGACACCTACATTTTTATTACGTTCTGTTTTAYGAAATTCTCGGAAATCAGGCTTGGTAAATAGCTTCCAAACTACTAACTCTGAACTTTGAAGGCACTAAATGCTTATGTCTTAGCATTGCGGAAACATAAGACAAACCTTAAGAGTATGTCTCCACTATACATAGGCTACCCAACTATTGCTTGAGAGAAAGAAAAGAATGAATGCGCACGCTTATATACGAGTCTTTACTCGCCCTCGTCTCGACCAAACTGCCCAAAATGAATTCCTAACATTGATTATAATCACGTACATTCACTTGACTTGCATTGCTTAGAAACCCTAAATAAAAAGGAATCTTTTTTGTGTAAATATACAGACTGCTTGTTCACCCAACCCTTGTCAAAATGGCGGCCAATGCACCGTGAAAGATGGAGGAACAAACTACACCTGTACGTGTATTGGTCACACTGGAAGGAACTGCGAACAAATAAGTAAGTGAATTATTTTACCTTGTATAAACTAAATATGATTGGTCAACAGTGTTCACTTTTAATTTTCACAATATGACGACCTACAGGTTGTTGAAGTGAAAATTCAGCACATTTATGTCAACTTACTTTGTGTATTTTATTCATTTTGTCAACTATAGTTGACGTTACTATGAGGTATTAATTTTACGCAACTGCGTAATAAAAGTCATGGGAAATGTTTCTTCTGTGTCCAAGAGGCTCAAAAATTGTCATACCTTTTTTAATGTTGTTTCAGATGTCTTTTTTTGAAGATCATGATAATATTTCGTTTCAGATYGCGTACTATTTGACTTTGAATCTGGAAACCTCGACGGTTGGACCCTGACAGGAACAGCATTCACATATCAGCCAACCTATGGAGATAATGCCCTTTTACGAAGCAAGAGAACATCAAATCTTAAAGGAGACTGGTACATAGGAACATACGAGAAAAGACCCAGTCCTTCTAGTCCATACGGAATACAAAAAAATGCACCTACTGGTACTGCGACCTCTCCGCATTTTGTAATCAGAGGGAAAAAATTAAGGTTTCTAATGGCTGGGGGMGCCGGARGCAGTCGCGGCCGTTTCGAGTTGCTTATCAGCGGATCAGTCGTCAGAACTGAAATCAACACAGTGAGCACCAATGGCATGACTCAAAGAGAGTTCGATGTGTCATCTTTCAGAGGACAGGAAGCCCAAGTTCGAATCGTCGATGGTTCGTCAGGCTATTGGGGTTTGATCAATGTTGACCACATCGAGGACAGTTATTGCAACGATTAA